CGTGCTGGTCTCTGTGTGCATCAGGCCCTTCTTCATTGGAAATGATGGGCATCCGATCACACTGGTTCAAGCAGAGGGCCCTTACTGGTTCGTGTACCTGAAAAGCCACTGGGCATCTCTTGGCTGTGCCCCACCATCGCGCCCTCAGGGCAGGAGGGCAGCCAGCAGTCCGGGCTCGTGGTCCAGTGTCATGGCAGCCCTGCAGGAAGAGAGGCTCCCGCCGGCGCCCTCCGAACCACTCGCCGTGGTCAGCGGGGTGCAGCACTCTGACCGTCCAGGCTGGGAGTATGGGCAGCCCGTGGGGTCAGGGGGTGGAGCTTGAGGTGGGTGTGGGAAATCCAGAGGCCAACAGGGTGCCGGGCAGACGCCCACGCCCATGTCTCTTCGGCAGCGATAGCAAGCGAAAGCGACAGGAGGAGCCGTTGTGGCCCCTGCAGACCCTGCTGGGAGGAGAGGGGTCCCGGCAGGTGGGGTGGTCCTTAGGTGCAGAGCCCGGCCTCGTCGTAACCGCCTCCCGAGAGCCCCGGGCTCAGGCTCGAGGACAGAGGTGCGAGGAGGGCAGCACCACTGTGGTCTGCACTTGCTCACCTGGCACAGTCGACGAGAAAAGCTGGACCTGGGGACAGCAGAGGCTGCTCGCAGGCCCAGCAGACGGGCAGTGGGGGTGGGGGCCGGGGGCCCGGGATGCAGAGGCGCGTCAGGTGTAGATGGTGAAAGTGTCGCCTCTGCACCTCGTTGATGCTGGTCCTGGAGGGTGGAGGTCAGAAAGCTAGAGAAGGAGTCGTCAGGGGAACCCGGAGAGATGGGGAGAGCTGGCTGCGCAGAGGCGGGCAGAGCAGATTTGCGGCCCTGGGCTGGGAGCATAGAGTGGAACTGTACGGGCTTCTACGAGCAAAGGGGTAAGAACCTGGCTCTCCCTCGCTGGACAGCCTGGCGCACAGCTACTCCGCCTTTCTGTGCCCCGTTGTTGTTTTTGTTTTTGTTTGAATTTTATTTATTTTTTTATACAGCAGGTTCTTGTTAGTTATCCATTTTGTACATATTAGTGTGTACATGTCAATCCCTCTCTCCCAATTCATCCCACCACCACCCCCGCTCCACGTCCCCCCCGCTGTGCCCCGTTTTGTTACGTGTCCAGTAAGGCTTTTGCGTCGGTCGTCCCGCCCCCAGGGACCTTCCTGGCTCCGGGGTCGGTGCCACCTTCCCGAGGAGGCCTTTCTGGACCCCACCCGTCTGAAGTCCAGGCCTCCTGTGGTCACTACGGCTCCCCCTCGGTTTAGCTCTGCCCTAGTTCTGACCCTGTTCCTAAACAGCCATAAAACCAGCGTGTTTTCCAAGGGCTTAGAGGCATTAACTCATTTAATCTGCACAGTGACTCTGCTGTGTGCACTGTCACTGTCCCCACTACCCCGGCGGGGAGGCTGAGGCACAGAGAGGTTAAGTAACTTGCCCTAGGTCACCCAGCCAGAGAGCGGAGCTGGGATCTGAGCCATGCCTGTGAGCGTCTCTCCTGGGAGTTCATCGCGCTCCAGCGAGGATGTGTGTTCAAGGACAGGGACTTTGTCTGGACCACAGGTGTGCTGGTGCCACACGCACCCAGAGCAGGCGCTGGATGGATGGCTGGGGTGAATGGAGAAATGGATGGGGGCGGGGGGGCGAGGGGCCGGAACTCGTCCTGCAGGCTTGGGAGGCCCTGAAGGTTCTAGGGCAGCGTCCTGGGAACACGGGCCAAAGCAGCCCCTCCCAGAGCCACGTCGGCCCCAGCCCCGGACACAGCACGTTCTGTTTCTCTGGTGGGACACGCGCTATGTGGGCCGGGCCCCCGCTGGCCCCTGAGGGTGCACGTGCACAGTCAGCAGGGCCCCAGGCTGCACCTCTTCAGCCCCGAGGGCCTGGAGCCGCGTTCAAGCTCACAGGCAGGGAAGGGGGAGCCACAGCTGGGGGTGGCGGCAAGCCCGTCTGCCCGGTCGGGTGGGCTCTGTCACAGCCGAGTGCACTTCTCTGTTCACTCGCCGCGTCCGCTGCGTGTTGGCCAGGCCTGCTGTGCTCATCAAGTGTCTCAGGGACAAGGCAGGCAGAGGCTCCTTTCCATGGGGTCCCCTGGGTGCTCTGGGGGATCTCGGAGCCCCACAGGACGTGCCTTCTACCCTCCTGCCTCGGGCAGGGCTCTGGGTGAGCAGCAGACCGAGTGTGTGACTCACCCACGCAGGACATCTGGGCTGCTCCGGTCAGCACGGAGCCCTGTGAGGGGCCAGTGGACCCAGGACCCCTGCCCAGCAGGGCCCCCGGAGTACACGTGGGGCAGCTGGGGGCCAGCAGGATCCTGCGGGCCAGGGACTCACATCCGTGCTGGCGCTCCACGGTCAGGGAGATCACTCCCCTTGCCGGCCGCGCGCATCCCGGGCCTGGAGCCCCCGCCCGAACCCCTGCCTGTACCTCCGGCCGCAGCACCTTTCCTCTCAGTTTGCTGGGAGCCCCTGGCCTCTGGTCGTGGCCTGGCCAGTCCACATTCCTCTCCTGCAGCATCTTGTGAAGGGTGCCAGGTGGATGCGGCTCCTGCCCCGTTGGCCTCGGGCTGAGAGCTGGAGCCCTCGGGCTCACACGCGGGTTCACTAGCATATATTGTGATCGCTGCCCCCAGACGGTGTCCTGAGCCCGCCACTCCTCCCCCACTCCTGCACCAGTGCTGGGGTGCCTGCGAGGGTCTCCTACCTGGGCTCCCGTAGAACAGCCAGAGGCGGCTTCTTAAATGGGGACCCAGGTCCCTCCACTGCCCTGTTCAGAGCATGCCGGGCTTCTCATCCCACTCAGAGGAGAGCCAGATGCCCCTGTGGCCTGTCCACCCCGCTGCCCCTCCCCCAGGGCCCCTACTCTGAGCTCTGGAGCAGCCTCATGGCCTTGATCCTACAAAACCCACTCCCACCTCAGGGCCTTTGCATTCGCCATTGCCTCCACCAAAAAGCTCCTTGAGCACTCTTGTCACTGTGTCACCTGCTCAGAGAAGGCCTCTGCCTCCCCGCCAGAACCCCTCCCACCCTCGCTCGGCCACTTTGCCCTTCAGACTGGGCGGTGGCAGCTGTCGTGCCGGGCGTTCGAGGCCAGCCATGCTCGCCGCTGTCATCCAGAGTGCCGCCCGGCAGAGTCGGCATGCGGCACTTAGGCCGTGGGGAGTCTGCATTCTGTGGCCCCTCCCACGGGGCAGGGCGCAGGTGGGCCTGGCAGCTGTGAGGCTGCACGCCATTGGCCTGTGAACACAGGCAGGAGCAGCTGGGGCAGAGAGGGGAGCAGCCACCCCAGGGCGGCAGGACGAGGCTGGGCTGGACCAGGCATGGTGTCAGGGCCTCGGTGGGCCAGGCTGGCCAGGGTGGGTGACAAGGGCATCCGAGAGGGGGCTCTCCAGTCACTTTCACATGGGAGCCAGGCCGGGGGCTGCCACGCTGTCATCTCAAGAGAAGCCGGAAATCCGGGTTCTGTGTCCAAGCTCCCAGTTTCTAAACGTTGGCGACCAACTGGAATTCTTTCTGTTAACGTCGTGTGGGCCGAAGAAAACACATCTGTGGGCTACTGTGGAAGTGGGGGGCGGTCAGGTATGGGCTGGGGTCCTGCGGGGGCCGCTGTGGAGCTGGCGGTGAGGAAGGGCGCCCTGCCCCGCCCCCGCCCCCGCCCCCACCCCCGGTTGCAGCATCAGCACCAGTAGCCCAGTGCCGGGAGAGGCCTGGGGCTGGGGCAGTTCTTGGTTGGAGACCCCAGGGTTGCCGGGAGGAACGGGGACGTGGCGGAACGGGGCCACTCGGCGACCACTTCTGTGCCAGGACCCAGGCGGCCGGCAGTCGCTCCCTGCCCAGCTCTGAGTGCAAGGTTGGGGTGTGTGGCCACCTGGGATAAAAATAGCAGGGTCATCTTGAGGCTGGAGGTTGGCCTGCGTGTGGGAATACGGCATCTGCGGGACCCGCTGTCAGCGCACGGGTAGATCCTGGCCCTCACCTCCATGCCCCCAGGGGCCAGCAGGACACTGACCTCTACCACTGGGGCAAGGCGTGGGGTGCCGGCTATACCCAAGGGCTCCGCAGCTCCGAGGCTCCGGGTTTGTCAGAGAAGGACACCGCCCTCCGAGGGTCACAGGTGCAGAGGGAGGGGTCAGTGGCGCCTCTCCCTGCCTTGTCTCTTTCAACCACTGCCTCCCTGTGAGGTCAGCCGAGCCGGCACCAGGCCCCGAGGCCGATGGGAAGAAGGGACCTGCTAGCTCACTGCTCGGCCCCCGAGGGCGCTCCGGCCCCCGGGCTCCTGGTCCGGGTGGATGCTCAGCCCCGTGGGGCCGGCACAGCTCCGCCTCAGGACTCTGCCTACAGGTGGGGCCGGTGCTGCACCTCCACGTCCTCTGCCGTCCGTTGAGGTTTATCCTAAACCTTCCCGGTGCTCACCTATTGCGTGCAGCGTTCCAGGCGTTGCTCACCTACTGCGTGCAGCGTTCCAGGCGTTGCTCACCTACTGCGTGCAGCGTTCCAGGCGTTGCTCACCTATTGCGTGCAGCGTTCCAGGCTCCCGACTGTGTTAACACACAAGTCTCACGACACGGGCACTCAAGTCCCCAGCAAGGTCACGTGGCTGTCGGGCAGCACGGGTGACAAGCGTGCCAACTCGAGGGAGTAGTGTGGGAACTGAGTTGGTGTGCAGGGTCCTCAGACGGTGACGGCACGGAGCACGTGCCACAGGCGGCCAGCGTGTGCTGGGTGGGGCCCTCCAGCCCGCCTGGAAGCTCGGCACAGAGGGGACCATGGAGCGGGGAGGGGTGGGGCCCTTCTGTGCCCCACCCCCAGCCCCCGGCACCCTCCGTGCTCCTGCGCTGGCCCAGCCCTCCTGCAGGGCCCAAGCCGTCCTGGTTCCCCTGCGTTGTGGGCTCAGGGTGGGGCAGGACAGGGTGCCGTGGAGGAGGAGGGGAGGAGGGCTGGGGGAGCTGGAGGGGTGGGAGCGCCCGGCTGAGCCCATCTCTCGTCCCCCAGGAAGCCCGAGAAGGGCGTCCAGTACCTCATCGAGCGCGGCTTCGTGCCCGACACGCCGGTGGGCGTGGCCCACTTCCTGCTGCAGCGCAAGGGCCTGAGCCGGCAGATGATCGGGGAGTTCCTGGGCAACCGGCAGAAGCAATTCAACCGCGACGTGCTCGAGTGAGTGGGGCTGGGGGCGCCGCGCACGCCCCAGGCTCCCCGCTTCCCCGCTCCCCGGCACAGGGAGGTGCCCTGCCAGCCCCTTCCCCTGGCCCAGCGGCCCCTGGGCCGGCCTCCTGCAGCGGCAGCGGGAGGGGAACCGGCGAGCTCAGCCCCCTCCTCCTCTCTCTCCTGGCGGGAGATGGGGTGAGGGTCGCACCAGGCGGGCGGCCGTAGACTCTCAGCTACGTGGAGCCCTGCACAAGAACAGGTTTCCAGCGCCCTGGGAACTGCTGACAGCTTTGAGAAGTCCTGCCCGCACGTGCCCTGCCC